TTTTTTTTCACAGGGAAAAATTAATTGTGCTCATAATAAGATTGTCTGTGCGCCCTTCCGGTAATCAGCAGTGGCAATAATAAAAACAACAGCAACAGCAATAGCAGCTTCTGACGGCCTTTGCCTTCAGTGGTCGAAGAACCAGCATGACAGTTACTGGTGGCCTGGCGTTAAACCAGGGAGTGCCGCACAACGCGAACGGCAACAACAAAAACGTGCCTTGTCCACCAACCACGTCAAACTGGGATGCATCGTTCGCTCGTGTGTTTATGACACGGCTGCGACAAAAGCAAGTACGTCTTCCTGTTGAAAAACACCGGGGCAAAGGATGGCGGCAATCGACGGCCGGCAGACCCGACAAAAATGCGCGCTACCTAGGTTGATGAGGTTTGAATTTTACACCGCTTACATACTGTATATGAGCGGGCATATTCGTGCGTGAAGGGACGAGGGGTAAAGATTGCAGCCACAGGCGGAAAACCTGTGGCGTACAAAATGTGGAACGTGATAGTGGCGTATTTGTTGAACGTGAGCGTTTGACGCGACGAGCCCTGTCGACGATAGTGTATTCAGGACAAATGAGGTGCTTATAGGGGGCGTTGTTGATGCTGGCAGTGTTAGAAATTGAAAGAATTGTATATAAGCAATAAAGTTTTGCTTGGGAACGGGAGAAGAACAGTCAAATAGATGAATAAAACGCTGCGGTGCATGATCAAATCGGACTGAAGAGCTATTGCGCGGCCCGCAGAGAAGTGGTAGTTTCTCTTTCAACGTTCTTTCCGGGAAATACGAGCGGTTTCTTGTTCAATCAAGCTAGAAATATCGCTTTGTAAAAGTGAATGAAAAGACCAATTCGGAATTATGCCAAAAAAACTCTTCGAACTAGTTTCTCTGTACTTCCTTCACACTCTAGCGGTGCACAACTCAAAGCGATATTTGTGGTTTTCATTCGAAGACGTCCTTAGGCATTAAATCACCCTCTACAATGTATCGAGCAGGTAGATTGATTGTCCGGCCTCGTTCTCTAGAACACCCTTTGACCAATGCTCGCGTATCTGCATACGCTACAAGGAAGCTGTACTAATCCACTTCGATAACTAGATTAATAGTGAAACTGATGAAACTGAAGAAGGGCATTAGGTTTATGGGAATGTACTCTAATCGATATCGACTATCTATTACTTTGAGTGCTAGCTGAGCTACAATGAATCATGGCCATAAAGCTGATTACTTGACAGCCATCGATAGCGTTCGTTATATGATTGTCTAACTATTGTCGAATATGAATGATTCTTGGTTCTTCTCGAAGATTTTCTATCATGTGCGCACTGATACATAATCAACTTGCAGAGTTCGCATAGGGCACACTCTTAGGGTTTATTGCGTGTTTGTCCGCAGATACCGAACCTGTCTTCAGGGGCAGTGGTAGGATCATTGCTATTATATTGTTGTGATCGTTCACGATACTCCGGTAACAGCGACGTCGATAAGAAGCAACCTTCTTGATTGATCGGAAAGAAGAAATATATAAAAAGTTTGTAGCCTTACTTAAAAACGAAAAATTGCCATATTGTCGGATAGTATCATCCCTGCGTTTCCGCGTATTGCCGCTGTGCAGTTCAACATTGTTGATACAGTATACCATTCATTTTTTTTCGATCATTTTATTACTGCTATTATAGTTGATGAGGATGTCAATGGTCACAGCGCATCGTCTTTTATAACCTTACCGACAATGTTCCTCTTCCCCAATTTCGATGATTCGTCTACTTGATGTGTTTGAACGATGCACGATAATGCGGCATCAGGATAATAGAATCTGTGACGGCATAATAGCTAGCAAATAATAATAGCTATTTCTTCACTAGCAAATCTGTCACAGCACAGCGGCTGGCATGGCAATAAGACCCAGACCCAAATGTGTAATACCAAAAAAAGCAACGGTTGCTCATTGTGTAATATACTGCCGCAAGGTCTGACTGGTAGGACACTCCGACTGTCCAGCAATAGCGGCTTCGCACAGCATCAAAGTGCTGTGCCTATTGAAGTGTCCTAGTCTGGGTTTTTACAATTTTTATGTCTGTCCTGATGAATTTTCAATTTATTGTTGTTGTTGTTGTTGTTGTTGTTGTTATTGAAGAATGGGCATCGTAGACGGACAAAGCGCACGACAACCACCTAACGGCTAGTAACACGACAAGAGTCTGGACCGGCGATGACTAGCGACGGCGAGGGGCAATCAAAGAAGAGCCCGCCGCTGCTGGCAGGATCGCTTCGATTCACCATTGCCAGAAGTGATGTTTATCTACTACCCAAATCCTCACTTCCTTACCCTCTTGATAAATGTTTACTGGGTAAGTATGTTAGAGGAGTAGAAATTTGCACAATATGTTCGTGGTAACGGTAGCGTGGTTTCTAAACCACACGTCATGAATAGGACAATTTTAACGCAAGGGAAAATGCGGGATCGGGAGAGCAAGCGCCAGACGTACCGAGAAAATACTATGTATAATGTTAATGTTCCCTAAAAAGATTAGTATGAAAGAGAGACATTGTTGATCTCAATGTAGATTTGGGTACAGGCAAAAGTAGATTTCATCGTATCATTGGGTAGCATCTTTGTGTGATTGTCTCACTGGTATAAGGCGGGCGCCCTATAGGAAGAGGCGCGACCCATACCATTATTCTTTGATTTATTTTTTTATACGAAATATGACTTTTGTTGCGATTGTATATATGCAGTATTCATATTGAAAGCGGATTTATTAGTACAATCTGATTAAAAATTGATTTTAGAGCAAACGTACCGTCTCTTCGAGAAGTGCTGGAATGCTAGGAAGTTAACGCCAACTTTCCAATTATGGTGAATTAATCTCTTGGGAGACGTGTTAAATCTTTCCATTCGAAATATACCATTCGTAGCGTAAACGTCTTCAACGTTCAACGTCATCATTTCTGATGAAGAAGCTAGGATTACAGTTCGGTACGTCATATAAACTCACTTAGCGCTCGCATAAATAAAAAAAAAAGACATCAAACACCAAAATTGAAATTGGCCGTATGTGAAGGAGGAGTTTCAGGTTTTTCTTAGGTACCAAAATAAACGTGGCATTAATTTTTATGGCCAACAAACTGTGCGTACAGATACTGTGAACTTTCAAATTTTTGCGCGCAAACGTAAATGCATTTTAAGCCTTACCCGTTCATATTTTTCGGTACACTGTAGTGATGTTATTATCTCAATATATAAGTATAAATCATGTGCATATTGACGGTTGTGCCGTTTACGGCCAATCCATGAGAAAACGAACGGATAATAAACGAGGAGTAGAAAATGATAACCGAATGCTTTAAAGGTGGTCACCTATATCTTTTACAAGAATGAGCAGTAACTTCAAACGACTAACTTGAGCGTCAACGTTGGTTAATAACATAATCATTAACGGGGCAGGGCAGTGTTGCACCGTGGGTTATGTTAAAAGCGTTGATTACATTATATATTGAATGGGTTAATTTACTCCAAGCAGAAACAAATCCTACTGCGATTTTGCTTAGGACCAAAAAGGATACCTTCAATTTAGTAGGTGACAGCTAATGGCCAGCTTATTCAAAGCTCTCCGCGAAAATGACTAAAATCATTTTTACCATCAGACTTAACTTTTGCAGTAAATCGTATAAATTATCATTATTACTATATTGTGTGTCATAGTTTAGTTACTGCTGTATGCTTCAAGCGTATGTATATTTTCGTCCATTCTACAATATATAGTAGGATGTTCTACAAACTCTTTTTCTTTAGCTATTTCTCTACTTTCTATATACTGCTTTTCGAGAAGCCGAAAGGTACCAAAAGCTGCTTGATGTATAACGCACAAATATAAATGCTTAGTAAAGCTCGTAGTAAAGTAGCGATAATAACAATAAGTTCTCCGAACTTTCAACCAACGTTTTCAAATTAACAGGCAGGAAAAAGACACTTACATTGAACCTTGGCCTGAATCATCAAAGGACCATCAATAAGCTGGCCTTTTCGAATGTCTCATGTAATAGAAATGGCCGCTTTTTAAAAGGCTTGCGCTGGAAAATTTCGTTCCGGTCATTTGATACATAGAGGTGCTACCATCTTGCACAGTGACGTGTTAGACTAATAACCTATTACAAAACATTAATTATACTTTAAGACTTTACTGCTGATGGCGCTTTTCTCCGGTTGTAAATAAACATTAAAAAGTTTTCCATTTTAGTCTGTAAATGACGAGAAAAAATTCATCATAAGTAGGGCAAACGAGTGTCTGACCCAGATTTGCGTGTCCGCTCGAATAACTGTACGATGAGGAATACACTGTGTACAATATCCGCTTTCTACCGATAAAAACAAATGTCAAATGTAAAAAGCTAGTGAAACAGTCGCTTGAAGGGAGCTGCACTCTCGATATTCGTACCATATCTTGCGTAATAAGGCTTTTGCAAATATAAGGACATAACTTCTTCCTTTTTTCACAGTTCAAACATAATTTACATCTATATTTAGCTCGTCTTGCCTTTCAAAGCCTTGTAAAGTTTCCTGCGGCAATTCAAGTTTTACCAATTTCAACTTTACGGTCGCTTCTGCAGAGTCAATAATTGCTTCAGGTCGGCTGGCCCCTTCCAGCACAAAACGAAGTCTGTTTACCCTCGCCTTTGAAAATGTTTTTCGTTTTTAGAAATTAATTAGAGCAACGAGGCCATTTGAAGTTTAGTTGGAAACGAACTACCACCGTACCATGACGCAGACAACAGTTTGAGCTTATATTGCAGGTACTTCATTGATTTATACATTCTTCTAGAGATCGAAGCTTTTGTCGAAAAAGTCGAGCGTCCCGAATTGGAGCTCAGTTATCTACATAAGCAATATTGCCTGTACCATGAAACTGAAAAAATCACATGATAAACGAGGTCACTGTTTCGAAAAGGGCGTAAGGTTATTCTTGACGCGGCTATGTCGTTGTTTCAATACGTACCTGGTGAACACATCTGGGTAGTGAGTTTTGGCAAACGCTTTTTCCAGTTCTTCGAGTTGGTAGGATGTAAACGTCGTCCGATAGCGGCGCTGTTTTCTCTTGGGGAAATCGTCGAGGATGATCTCGCCACTCGGAGAGGTACGAGCATGTTGCGCGAGGAACGTTGCTGTGTTAGGGCCCACCTTAGGTGGAAGGGTGCCGAGACCCCCTTGGCTAGCAAGGGAGGACATGAAGGTTGCTATTGGATGCGCTATTTGATGCTCCAATTCAACCGCACCTGAAGAGATTTTCATTACGGGCGACCGATAATCTAAGGGCGAGGTACTTCGAGTATCTGTGGGTGAACACATGGCCAGCTCTTATGAATTAGACCGTTGTATAAGACTGCATAGAGTAATGATGAACTTAACTGTTCATGATAGTGAAATTTTTGCAAATATAATACTAGCTAAGTTTAACGAACAAAAATTATGCTAACAGTTAGAGCTAATTATTCTCTCACAACTGCTGCTGATCTGTCGGATACGGGTATATTCGGGTATGACCTGAAGCCATCTAAGAGCTAAGAGCTAAGGTTCTATGTAACATGATTATCATCGATCTTTTACCATGACAACACCCCGTTAAAGAAACTAACTTTTGGTAGCAGTACGACTAGTACCAGGACAAAACTAAAACAGAATTAACGTTCCAAATCGACTCTCAGTGTGCGGCACGAATAGTCTGAACACAAGGGTTCGGAGAAGTCTTTTCTTTGGGGAGCTTTCCCGAATTCTTCACTCTGATTCAAGTTCTTAAGACGTTAAACATTAGCACGACTACATGCATACGGACCGTTCTTTCATCTCTGTAATGATAAAACAGGCTTTTGAGCGTCAACGTTGAGAGTAGTATCGCGTAAGTTGCCAAGGCAACACTCAATCATCGCAGCCGAAGGTCGCCATCTTTTGTATTATTACTAAATACAATTGACACAATTGTATTGTGCTTCTTACCTTTCTGTGGCGAATCTTCCCATGGTCTTCGGTTGACAATGGCTTTAGCAGTGGGAGTTTCCTGAGACGAAGACGAGATCGGACTATGCACCATCATTCCTTGCGATTAGGGCACACGTGACTACCGACAATATCAAAACAGTCGCAGGTGCGATAATACACCAAATCAATATGTTGCTACTGTTTCGTCTGAAGCTGGTATCGTCCGCATCAACAATTTTTTAGCGTTTGTTCCACCGATATGATCTAACTGGTTGATAACATCCGTTTACGGAAGACTATTCCATGAAACCTATCTCCATCTTCACTAATAGTGCCGTAGAAATACTTGATGCGCACACATTCATACACGGTATCTTCACAAAAGTTAATACAGTCTACGAAAACACCATGGTTCCTTTAGAACTGAACGTCTACGATTTTCCATAGGTTTGAAGAACATCTCAGGTCAAGAACATCGCCGTGTTCTCTAGCAGCAGAATGATTTAGAACGTTGCGTGGTGACCTCGATGCTGACGAGAGAAGATATGTCACTCAATATGAAAACATAGAACACAGCTCTTCTTTCATCTTGCGCTTGAATGCCGTAACTCGTATTCATTTCTTTTTTTTTTTGAACACCTTCAGCAACTGCGAGCTCTGCCGAAGTTCGGCTCCACTTTGTCGAACTCTGGCACCAGCCTAATGAGCCAATCAGCACCTGAACTGTACCAGAACTGGCGTTCCGCTGCTCTTTAGCCCATACGTTGAACTGACTCACTACCGAAAGCTACAGACGGCCAGCGACTTCGTTTCGCTCACGACGTCGTGTGCTCACCGTGGCCGACGAAGACAAACTAAGCATAGCAGAAAAGTGGCCGAAGTCGCCGTGGCGCTTCGGGAGCGCTGCACGGCGCCGCTATTCTGGCGACAGCTACGCCCGCGTCAGCAGCACCGTTTCCGTAGGGTCGAACGACCAGACACGGCCGATCCATGACCAAGCAGCCAGCGAACATCGACGGATAAACGGACATACGGACGGGCGGACGGACGGACGGACGGACGGACGAACGAACGGTCACGATGACGGAGCAGGAAAGGCGGAGCATCGAGGTGGCTTTCGCCCGCTGCCGAAGCTTAAGCCCCTCCTACCTGGTGTCGCAGACAAACTGAACAGCTCTGTGAAGCCATCATATCGCATCGCAAAAAATAATAAAATTATAGTCGTTTTCTGCAATTGGCAGACAAGCAGACAGAAGTGAGCGAACCGGCCAGGCACTGGCCGCAGCGGCGACACAAATGACTCGGCAGTTTTGGCTAACAACGGCCGCAGCAGCATCTTGGGAAATCGCTATTGAAAAGCAGCACCAGCTATTCGGCAATTGGGGAGAGTAGAAAATGAAAAAGGGCAGGTCCCATTTGTGGCAATTCGTGAACAGGGGTCACACAGGTAACATTATGCAAAATAGCGGATACAGCAGCGATCTAAAGCGAGATATGAATAGAGAGCTGTACAAATTTGTTAGATCAAATCAATTATTCAACATTAATTGATCGAAGTAGCTGAAGGCGGAATGGGACGAAAGAGTCAATTTTCATTTAATTCATTGTGCAACACTAGCGTTCACGAAACTTTCTATGTAGTTAATTAGTTGAACTTTACTCACTTCCAGTTATGATTCATTCAACATGGATCGCTATATATAAATTTGCCTTAGCGACATATTTTTGATATTATATCAACGTATATAGACATATAATTTGCTCGTGATAGATTTTTGGCCCTTATCTTCATAGGACCTCACAACGGCCTAGCTGAAAGCATGGTAGCGAATTGATGCCTTTCATTGGATAGTTTCTAGTACCTGCATAAGGGGAAGTTTCTCTTTGCATGCCGCCATCGACATTCATTCCATTGTGTTTGTGGGTGTGTGCGTAAAGGAGATTATACAGAGTGGGTAAAATGTAATAAATATTCGCCTTTGGAACTTTCGAGCCCTGCTCGGTCTTCGGGGAAGCACAGAGGGCTAGCGTCGGAAGTGCGGACGGCACAAAACAGCCTGTGACAACTGACGTGATAAATGAAAATCTTCATTTGGCATGAATATACCGTCCATATTGAAAAGGCACAAGTACATCCGAAATTTTATAACATCACATTTTTATCATTGAAGGAATTTTTATGTTTACTGTGCACCTTTCTGATAAGCGTAAACTTGTCACACCTAATGCCCGAAAACATAACATCCCCCAATATGTCCCCATATATTCTTCACCTCCAAAGGTTTATCTTTTTGTTATCTCTACTGTGTGCATAAAATCGCTGAGCTCTGTCTTGCCAACGTAGACTCTATGATTACAACTCCCAAGATCTTCCCCGGGATAAGTGTATCCACATGCATTTGAAGTAACTCGAATTTCTGCTGACAGAGCAAACAGCATAAAAAAATGACACATGGGGAGACAGACGGAGAGAGAATGGGAAAGGGAGCTTCAGAGTTGTTATAAATGAGAGAAAAAAGAGGACCCATTTGTCGTCTGTACAGTGCTTACCTCTGCACCACATAGTTTATCTTAATTTTCTACAGCTTATACAATGTCAGCTAGCGTCGGCAATGTCAAAACGATTTCTAGTTACGCACTCTTGTTTTCCGTCCATTTAGCCTAGGGTTAGGTAACGGCATCAGTCAAGAAGTCGCCGTCATTCCTACGAAACGCTTCGTAGGATGAAATGGGCTAAAAGGTCACCATAGCAAAAACCGCGTCTCAGCAACCATTTCTCTCGCTAGTTACACTGCCGTGTGTTGTTAACGGTAATGTTAGTTAGATGACATACCGGACTAAGTGCTTCAAGGTGGGACGACAAACAATTGAAGTAGGGTCAACTCGGTCATTTTCAGCATCAGCTTCGTCATCCAAACCTAGCATGCTAGGTGCAATCCGTACTTCTGGCCGGCACAGCCTGGCATCAATCACTCGGAAAAATTGTTTTGATTTTATGTCGTTTATCGCAGAAAATCATTTTATACTGAGAAAACATGGACGCGCGACTGTCCTCTTTGTATGAAACATGTCAATAAATTTACGCCTTTACATTGTAGAAAACCATCTTTCAGCTTCAACTACTTTTCAAATATTCTGACAACAAATAAGGTGGAATTAAATATATATATGTCAAAGTTAGGCCAAATACGATACGCAACAGTTTATCTAGCTGATATTTATTATATCAGCTAGATTACTACCATTATCTGATTAGAAAAATTACCAGTATACTAACAATGTAGCATATTTCATCTGCGAGTAAGTTAGCGGTTCCTGGCTGATTGCCGTCGTTTTACAAGCCAATTTTTTAGCGATGGCGTCATACTTACACAGATGTTTTTTGCGCTAAAACAGCGTCCGAAGCATGCGTCAGTAAATCTGCAACGACTCTATGTATAACTAAATTATCGTTCAGTTAGTAAAAGTTGTCTATTGGATCATTTAATTTACTTTTTAAGTGTAATACTTTCCATTTATATAATTATAGACGCGGATCAACATCGTGAGCCACAAAAAGCCAATGGTAATATGCATTTCGGACCTGATGAGTTTGTTGCTAAAAGAAGATTATGTGCTTACATCTTTGGGTAATTCGATTCGTTAATTATCCAGCCATGTTATTCTGGTTGCCAAAATATAGTGATACGTTCTCACGTAGCCTTTGGATACCCTGCGTCGGAAAAAACATCTAGGAGCAGATTCAAGCGTAAACAAAAAAAACGCATCCTGAAATCAGCGGTCCCTCCCTGCAGTATTTAACATAATTAGGTTAGTTTACTCTGAACTGCGTTCGGCGATGTTGTCGACCCAACAAACAAGGCCTAGTTAATAAACAAATTTAGAAGAGAAACGAGAATAGGATCTAACGCAATGTGTGATAGTTGTACCTACATGCGAAAAACTTATCTCAATAACACAATCAAAGCTATCTATAAGCGATAGCTGCTTACGGTAAACAGGATAGATTTTATCATAAAACCATCACAAGGTAAAATGATGCTATTTGTTTTACCCATAATGGGCATATTTCCATCAGGACCAAACAGTTAATGTATGTGCAGGAGTTAACGAGAACGAACCTAATCTTTTTTTATCTCGGCTGTGTAGGGCTGATTTGACGACCTCGCAACTATCAACCTAGCGCGAGGCGAGGATAATTGAAAGTTACGCGCGCCTTGCGGTGGGAAAACACCGCGGATGCATCAGCCGGGATATTATGCAAATTCTCCTATTCCCGCTTTGGGGCTGCTCTCTGTTCTGAGCTTCCGTGTATCAACAGCGATCCTGCTGTTTGTTATATACATGTACACACAGTAAAAAAACGGTATGGAAAGTACAAGTGGTACGGCACGAAGAACACTTCGAGGAAAAGGAGACTGATCTCTTGTTAGCGTACTTCACTATCTGTCTAAATCATTTTAGTGCTTGCTTCAAATCCTCTCAATGTTAAACTCCTCTCATCCGAATTTTTCCTCGTCGATATTTTTGTTATCCATTGTTTTCCCATATGCTATGTCGCTGCTTTTCCGATCCAGTAAAATCATCACGTGCTAAGATATTGCTTTCTGCTAGCAATGGTTAGCAGTGATACTAGCGGTGGCCAATCGTTTCTCTTGATTGCGGTACACGTAACAACAGTAAATGCACACACAGAATGTACACAACTGTGCAATACTTATTGATGCGAACGGAAAATTAGCTAAGCCAAGCATAACGCGCTAGTGTTAGCACTAAGTTCAGGTATATAACGCTGATAACTTGAATGACATTTTTTGATTAACAGGTAGACAGAACGACACCAATCGAAAAACGGTCGATTCTGCCTTCCTTGATTTATTCGATTTCTCATTCACCCCCCTTCCCCCCCCCCGCAGAGTTACCTCTCGCCGATTGCCGACCGTGTCAATATCGCAGCCCTTAGGGTCTTGGCAGCCGTCGTCTGCTGCCCGATCAACGGCGCGTGTAACTGCTGGATTCCCTCTAAGATGTCGTCAGTCACTTTGGCATGCATGGATTCCACCGTAAACCTTGCAGGAAATCGAGCTTCCATGACCCTGTCGATACATCTAGGCGTTCGAAATGGACAAGAAATTATTGTGCCCCTGATACCCTCATCTAGTAAATTTGTTGATTCTGTTTTATAAACTCAACAAGAAGCCATATGACGCAAAGTGTTTTCATTTCTTTTAAAGGGTTCTATATACTCACTCTGATATTGCTATATTTTGTGTTGATTTCTATAAATAAAGTTTTCGACTATTACTATCAAAGACGACTGAATGAAATTTGATTATATTCTTTGTAACGGTCTGGTAACTGCCGCTCTTCTGATAGTAGAAGAACTGGGCTCAGCGTCTGCCTTTGTGTCATTTTCTACGACTGGCCGAGGATTTTTTCATATATGGGTCTGTATCTCGGGTCATTTTGCCGGTGGCTGCCCCAGCAATAACGGTGCTAACAATAACAAAGCGACGTCGGCGGTACGTAAAGTCGGTGTGATGGACCAACAAAGGTGTCCCGGGATAGCTTAGTGGGTAATGTGTTTGCCTGCGAATCTTAGGGACATGTTGTGGTCTAGGTTTGAATCCGAGCGTAGGTTTACTTTGTTTCGTGCTGGTAGCTACGTATATGATAGAAGATCTAATGACGGTGCCCAATTCAAAACATGAAGACCAAGTAGGGTGCGACGACGAGGTCCAGGCGTTAGGTAACATTGTCGCATAGCATTATAATAGGTTATGTGTGACACGCAGTAGTACCGCTCTATAACTGTCGTGGTAGCTGTGGGGTGTTGGAAGTTCGAAGGATTTGCAAAAATGCTTCTGATGCTGATCGAAGAGGCCCACCAAGGCGGCCTGCCTTGGCTTAGCGGATTTACACGTTTTAATTTCGGAAATTCTACATATATGTTTCCGTAATTATTAAATGTTGTGTAAAAAAAAATAGACGTGTTTAAAAACGAACGTGAACAAACTAGGAAGCACGTTAGACCTCGCGATTTCTCTACTTCACATGGCGGTGTCGCTCTTCGAACTGTCTTCCATTGCTGAAGAAGCCCACCTTTCTAGCGATGTGACTTAACATACGATACATTGGTTCAAACAGATTTTTTTGAGATGTTAGTAGAGTCATAAATAATTTTTTAGCTATTCGATGCAACCCAGCTGAAAAAAGAGTTTGCTTGCTTGCTTCTGTCCGTTCTACGTTAGGACTGTACTAGGCGCCATCAAAAGCCTCCTTTCGTTTATTTTCTCTATCTATTTGCGTTCTGTTATCGTCGCTACAACTGTATCTAACGGCTGCATGGATATATTACTTTGAACCCATTATGTGCTATGCCTGACAGATTCACAAGGCTAACTGGGCCAGTCAGCAGAATCCCTCACAGGACATGATCGCTAACCTCCCCCGTACGACGATAAGGTGCCCAGCGTGCACGTTTTCCACTTAGCCTATTGGCATCATTGATATCGTTGTTCCTGTTGTTTTCCTGTGCCGAATGGTCAGCGGATATGCAGGACCGGCTTATAGCTGTAGGCTGGCGACGATAGTATTCGTAGTCCACCTTGCACAAGCCAGCCCAGCCACTGCTTCTGCATTTGTTACTGATGAAGTCCACTGCTGAAAACCTTTGTCATCTCAGGCACCCGCTCTCCACTTCGGCTAGTCACTTCACTCAAAATGGGCTAAAAGTGATCAAAAAACCGTTTAAGCCAAGAGCAATCGCGAGGGAGCGACTGGCTAACAACAGATAGGCGATTGACCCGCGTTAGCCGCTGTCTTGCTGATTCGTAGTGGAACAGCAGTGGTTGCATTGACCGACCAAAGCTGATTCAAAGCTTAGAAAAAAGTCAGCCAAAGTCAGCTTATGAACCAAAACCATCGTCGTGGACAGTGAGAGTTAGCGAAAACGATAGTGCGAAACAGGGAGAGAAAGTAGAGTAAACGTGGCGAAGCTCGAATGAAGAAGTTGTAATGCATCGGGACAGAAAAGCTAGCAGTTGGTCGGTGAGAAACGTCAGTTTTGCCTGTTTCCATACAACTCCCATGCAGCAAGGGAGTTGGGTACGATTCTCGGACAGATGACGCTTCCCGTTCACCGGTTAATAACGAATACACACATATACACGCACACACGTGCAGATACGGCTGGGGACGGGTAGACGGAGGCATTCGTTTACACACACATGCATAGATCTGCATAGGCAGCTCAAACGCTAAACGGGTGTCCCGCTAATCTGTAAGGTGTATGCGGCGCCGCTACATCTGCAGCCGTCGCAGTTATTGTCGCAGGTGGTCTCTATATTCTCCCCCACAACTCGATCGTCCTTTTCCTATTTCGTTGTGAACTGAACGGATAAACTGAAATCGACGGGGCACACCCTTGCCAAAACCACTTTGCCCGTACTGAGCATAGCGCAGAAATATATAGCTTAAATAGAGTAGCTTTTTGTGTTATGTTTTCCCTCTCAAGACGCCTGTGGACAATAGTAATCATCAAGTGAAACTTGCGGTTTTCAACAACGATGGCCGTCGAAACTGATAAACGGAGGAACGCCTGGAATATGTCTACGTTATGTGGGTCACTGCATGCAAACACAGTTGCCTCGTGTTCACATCTATTAGCAAACTGCTAATGTTAAATGGCCAAAAAGGTCAAAACGTTTCTTCACAGCGCAAAGAAGATCATCCCGTGTTCGCCTATCTGCTAACTGGCTGCCATCAGCGGTATCCATCGATTTCTCGTTAAGCCACACGCATCGGGGGTGGGCTCGCAAACGGGTCTAGTCAAGTGGATTTGCATAAGTAAATGGACCCGCCGGCCTCCAGCCGGTTTCCCCGATGTGGATATCGATGTTAGTACGAGACTTATAAGAGAACAGGAAAAGTGTATTAAGGCAGTTGGCTAGAATCGAACAGCGAGATAAACAAATAATTATACTGCAGCGACCTGAATGAAAAGCTGTTTTTGATTTTTATTTTTTAGTACTCTATAGGGTTAGGCTTAAGCGTATGGTAACATTTAGAATAGGTTCGGCAAGGGCCATAT